AAGAAATGCAATGTCTATAGTTGACAGAACTTAGAAAGTAAATGCAAAAATTGGATCAAATCCATTTTTTAATGCTATGATTTCTCTTATCCTTAATTTTTTTAAATTATAATTTCAAAAGTTGTTTTAAAGCCTTTGTAAATAAATAATTTTATTTCATAAAATTTCGTTTTGGAATTTCTTTGATATATATGTAAACGTGAATATGATCGCAATTGTGTCTCATAAAGCTTGATTTGAATCAAAATATAAAATCCCTAAAAAATCATACTAGAGTTATCCACCTACATCTAACAATACAAGTCATTTCACTACTTTCATGAATTTATTCTACATTGATAATAATAGCAATGGATCTTTAAAAAATTAGTCTTAAGATTGATCAAAAATATCATTATCTAATGTCTAAACCACATTTTTCAAAAAAATAATAATAATACAAAAGAGTCACACCAGCTTGCATATTTCTGATTTAATTTTTTTAATTTATTTTTTTAATAAGAGCATTTGCTTTAAACGATTCTCCTGCACATACATTAGCTAAGTCTATGTCAGTTTATTTTACTTTTGTTTTTCTCTTTTGTCACTTCCCATGTATTGTTAACCATGAATGCACGTTTAAAAACAAAGCGATATTTGACTTTACAAATTTAACTCATCATGTCCTTAGATGAAATTGTCTAATTCCATCACACGATTGAGCACGATGAGTGTGAGTTACGTTCTGGTTTACTTCACTTCATCTAACATGCCACGCCATGTCTCTATGAATAGCTACTTGTGGACAGTTCAGAATTCTAAAACTAATGGTATAAAATTAGTGGGAATAACCCTGAATTTGTTAAAATGCGTTCGTTAATCTGCCAATACAAAGTTTGTGGTCAGTGATACTCTTAATTTATTTTCTTCAAATTTATCGTTATGACATTACAAATGAATATGATAGTGTGATTAGAGTTTAGTGTAGGTAGAGTCGTTAGGCATTACTTGAGATATATGTATTAAATTAATCTGAAAGCGAACAGGTAAAATATCATCTTAAAATAACATAACTTTGTCTTATTTGCGTATGGATAAGATTGTTTCAGATTTGAAGATACCATTACTACAGGCAGAAGTAAGGAAATAGATGTTAATCTCGACTGTGCAAAGTTGTTTGAAAAGAAGGCGCAACAACAACCAGAAGCCACAACCTCAGGCATTTCCACAAATATTCCTATTTTTACAATTACTGGCTAGAAATCTTTTCCTTCATTATTGATACCTCGATTTTTTTAATGAATGACTTTTTCATCATTATTTCCTTGAATCCATGTATTTTGTAAATAATGATGAAATTAGTGTAAAGTTAAGTTCACACCATCAAACTTTCGTCAAGGTTCTGTTTGATAGCACTATTTGATGCACGGTGTTTTTTTCTTGGGGGAAAATGAGAATTTGATCATAAGACGAAGTCGTTGGATGCGAAAACCGATCACACCATTGCTGCTTTGTTGTTGTTGTTGTTGTTTTTTCTTGTGACACTTCAGCTGTTGTTTTATCAAAATGGCAGCCATTGCAATAACTTATTGCACTACGCTTGAACTATTTGAAAATACGACATGGTCAAGTTTCTGACACCTTTGTATAATAATAATAAAACGTTCCAGATACCCCAACATATTCTGTGTTTTTAATTTTAGTGTTCCCCCGTCACACGGCAAGCTTCATGCGTGAGGTCTGAACTTCGGAAAGAGGCTGATTTTTTTTTTTTCTTTTTAAATAATTTTTTTTGTTTAATGTCACTGGGTTCCCCCCCCCCCCCCCCCCACTTTTTTCTGAGGCTGCATACCACACAGAACTGGGTCAACGCTCATCCTTTTTTCAATTCGGGCATGTGCGCGCCTGTGAGTCTTTTCCGTAGCCTGGCACAGAAAGGTTATTGATATGTGCGAAATACAGCGACTGCTGTTTTGTGAGTCTCTTTTATAAAATGAAAGACAGCATCTTTACTGGCGAAAGGCTTTTGTACAACGTCGTGTCTATGACGCGATATGCTTACTGATTGTTCCTGACAGTGCGTTTTTTCTTGACACTAACTTTTCACCAAGACAATGAATGCCATCGCACAACGCTATAGGGCAGTAGATTTTCTTGCATAATATAGAAAATGAGTTAACGAGTTTGTTTTCATTTTTATTTTTTTATTTTTTTTTTTGTAATACAGATAATTCCTCAAAATATCCGGACCAAGTGTTAAAATACGCCCAACGGTTAAACTCTCGTAGTTTAGCATATTGTCTACATGGCAGTAGTGACACTAGGTAACGCTATGTTGAGTCATAATATATGAGTTTAAGGAATAACACAATAAAAAATAACCACGAATTGAAATTATTATAAAAGCAATACATTACTTAATATAATTTCATTTGCTTCATTAGACTATCTATTGATATTACAATAGTCTTATTTTTTTAGTTTATATTTTAATGTCTAGTTTAGTGTAGTTTTAGCCAAAAAGCACATTTGCTTCATTAGGTTATCTATTAATATTACGATATCCTTATTTTTTTAGTTTATATTTTATTGTCTAGTTTAGTGTAGTTTTAGCCAAAAAAAGCACATTTGCTTCATTAGGTTATCTATTAATATTACGATATCCTTATCTTTTTAGTTTAAATTGTATAGTCTAGTTTAGCGTAGTTTTAGCCAAAAAAAGCACATTTGCTTCATTAGGTTATCTATTAATATTACGATATCCTTATTTTTTTAGTTTAAATTTTATAGTCTAGTTTAGTGTAGTTTTAGCCAAAAAAAGCACATTTGCTTCATTAGGTTATCTATTAATATTACGATATCCTTATTTTTTTAGTTTAAATTTTATAGTCTAGTTTAGTGTAGTTTTAGCCAAAAAAAGCACATTTGCTTCATTAGGTTATCTGTTAATATTACGATATCCTTATTTTTTTAGTTTAAATTTTATAGTCTAGTTTAGTGTAGTTTTAGCCAAAAAAGCACATTTGCTTCATTAGGTTATCTATTAATATTACGATATCCTTATTTTTTTAGTTGATATTTTATTGTCTAGTTTAGTGTAGTTTTAGCCAAAAAAGCACTAAAAGGAAATTAATAACACTTTTAAAAAAATGTAATTCGCTAAGGTATGTCTAGTAGTAGGCCAACTAATGTGAGTTTGATATAATTTATTTACTATAGTTTATAATATAGTAATACAATAATCACAATAAAAGGCTAGTTTATAGAAATTACCGTACTAGTCGAACTTTTAATAATGGATATGATCAAACATTAGATAAACAATGACATTATATTTAAAGTTATAATAAATCCAACAATCATTTATCACCAGCAAATCTCCTGTTGGTGGTCTGGAGTTCAATTACAGCCAGAGCCCAGTCTAGCAAAAACATCAACAGCACCCCGGGTAGGCGGGAATCGCTAACTTTGGATGGCAACTCATCTAAGAGAAGGAAACTCTGAAATCAAACCCAGAGATGGAGTCCCGAAAGGCGGATAACATTGATACAATGAAACAGTCCGACAACTCCTGCGACGCCACTGGTGCCAAGCTGTATCATCCAAATGATGTTCTCTTTGGTCATCCAGCGGCGTGGAGAGAGACGATTTGCTGTTGGGAACCAGCTTATAATCCTTGAAGAATTATCCCAGGCCTTGTGGATTTCGTCCTCCGAAGCCCACACCACCGTCACATTGTGACGGACGGATGCCAGCAAATTTAATAACAATTTATGCAATAATACACCCAAAAATCATTAGTCAAATGTCAAGTACTAAAGTATCATTTGCATTCCTAAAATCTGTTAGATGTAGAAACTTCAATTGTTTTATTAGCATTTACCATAATATAAGATTTTAAAAAGTACAATAAGATTGATTACTTTTAATATACTCATGAGGACAATAAACACTTGACGCATTCCTGAAAGTTCAACTGTTCATTACCGTTATATGGGTTTTGCAAATTTAATCCGTTTTAAGATTTAACTCTTAAAAAAAGTTAAAAAAAACAAAAAAAAAACTAAATGACTGGATTCTAGAAAACAAATAAAAAGTATAATACCAAAGTAAGTGACATTAATAATATACAATTTAATTGAACTATTATTTGAAATAAAAAATAAAAATAAAAAATCGAGAAATAAAAAGTACATTAATTTACAGCAGGAAAAAAAACATGTAATCCACAAATTATACCAATTGTAATACAGATACACAAACACACACACACGCACACAAGGTACAATCTTGTAAGGCGCTTATGAGTATTTTAAAACTCGAAATATCTATACACAATTGCACATTTCTCTTTTTCTGCTTGAACAAAACTGACAGCTTATTCATTGATTTTAAACAATCTTAAATCTTCCTCATCACTTCATCAACAATGATTGGATACATAATAAAAAAAACAAAACAACACACAACCATCCCACCACTCGTCTTTTCGTTAGTTGGGAAAATATTTGAGATTGTTACACAATATATACTCAAGGAATTGTGTGTGTGAATTGGAAATGTCACTTTGTATACGTATTTAAACATTTATCACATAACATGGAGTCAACGATGACAAGTTGACCCTTTCGTCACATATATTATGTTGTTTGGCAAAGCTAAGCATTCTTTGCCTGTTACCAAAGTTTTAGCCATTTCCATAAAAGAGAAATCGGATTGGTCCACTCCGAAGACGAATTTGTATTCGTTCGTTCCGAATCGGGTGTCCTCAAACTACCGTCTTCGGTATCCGTATCATTTTGAACAGGATTTCTCAGCTCTATGTTTTCCGGATTCTCCTGTTTTCTACAAAATCGGCAGAAACAAAAAAACTTCTTGAAGCGATGAAGACCTTTTCGACACAAGTGAATCGTTTTAAGCTTCAAGAAGCCCCGGTTGTATCCCTTTGAGCTTTGTCCGACTTTTGTACCATCGTCCTCAGTAGCTTTCTCACAGTGGACGTAGTTAAAATAGTTGAAATGTTTACCCACGATATAAACGGGACCCCCGCTCGATCCTTTGCAAGTGGCATTGTCGTATTTGTACCTTCCTTTCTCTTTTGATATCACTTTCCCGACTGTGACGTGCTTGGCACGACGGTGTGGGTGGGACACAATGAAGCACGGTTTGCCCACGTCTTTGCCCTTGACGTACTGTTTCGGTAGAGATTTGTTGAGGGTCTCCAAATTTGCCCAAATCGATTTTAATCGCTGGACCAGCACCGAGTCACATGTGGCACACACGAACCGGCACCTGTCGTCTTCGCTGGCGTATCGGATCATTTTGTATCCGTCTATAAAAACAGGTTGAGGCGATTCTCGGTGACCTAACGCGACGTCTTCTGAGTCGGATTTTGACTTTGGTTCCTCGTCATAAAATAATCGACACCGCGCTTGTTTGGCTTCAAAGTCATCGCATACGACGTGATGCGCGCTGTACACAGTAAGGAGCCACCACACCGCGCTGGCCTTCTCTGGCGAGTCCCGGCACTTGATGCATTGGCATCTTTTCTTGTCATTTTCTTTGTATTCTGAAAATATGCTGTGAATATACCCGGTTCCCACATTGCCTTCGCCGTCCTCGTCTTCCTCGCTGTACTGCTCACCTCGGACACTTTTATCGATGGCTCGACTCGGGCTTTTATTTTTCAGATATACTCGTACTGTCAGTGCTGCGTACGCGTAGATGATTTCCAGCAATGTTTCATCCTTGTAATCCTTGGGGAGATCATTGATACCGAAATCTTTAATCGGATAAAAACTTGTGTGGTCGTAATTCTGTGGACAGGGTTGTTCTTTGAGGCTAGATTCTTTATCGCTCGTGTCATCCATTTCTTTATCTGTCGCACCTGGTTATAAAAGAAATATATATATAATGATTTAAAAATAGTGTGAACTGTTAATGACGGTACTCTCTTAGTTTGTTGGGGTTAAATTCCTCGTTGTATCGTCCGTCATATAATTGTCGACATTTGCTACGGAGTAAGGCTGTAAGAGGAAGAAAAATAACAATAAATTCTAATGCCTTCACCTCCAAAACCACAATCAATTATCAGAGGTTATGGATGCCCTGCCGTGGAAAAGGAAATTGGGGGGCGGGGAGAGAGAGAGAGCGGTGGAATCAGCCCCAGTTAAAGTATTTTCAGGCAAGGCATTCCGGTCTGATGCAAATTCCATGTGGCTTAGATATAAAATGTATTGAAAAAATCCCAGATAAAACTTAAAATTCAAAAAAAAAAAACGTACAAAATATTTATATGAGGCTCTTCATTCCCACGTAATTTTATCAAGTTCGAAGAAAAATTATTTTACAAATGCTTCCATTATGTGCAAACAGTGACGTAGTTACGGCTAGTTATTTCCAGAGAGGCGCAAGCTTTTTTTTGGGGGGAGGGTGGGTGTGGGTGTTGTGTCAGCAAAATAAAAATGCAATCGGTCAAAAATGCCACCCCTAATATAAAGAACAGTCCAGAGAATAAAAATACAACCTATAACACGTAATTTTATCAAGTTCGAAGAAAAATTATTTTACAAATGCTTCCATTATGTGCAAACAGTGACGTAGTTACGGCTAGTTATTTCCAGAGAGGCGCAAGCTTTTTTTTGGGGGGAGGGGGGGTGGGGGTGTTGTGTCAGCAAAATAAAAATGCAATCGGTCAAAAATGCCACCCCTAATATAAAGAACAGTCCATAGAATAAAAATCCAACCTATACATACATTTTATAGACCACGAAAAGGCCTTTGATAGCCTGGACCGACTAACCTTGTGGAAACTTCTTCGGCACTATGGAGTGCCAAGGAAACTTGTCAGGATCATCACGTGCTCTTATGAAGAAATGACATGCAGGGTGGTCCACGAAGATAGACTCACAGATTCCTTTACAGTCGAAACGGGAGTCAGACAAGGATGCCTCTTGTAACCATTGCTATTCATCCTTGCCATTGACTGGATTATGAAAATATCCACAGAAAAAAAGCGGAATGGGATACATTGGACATTCTGGGAACAACTGAATGACTTAGACTTTGCAGACGACATTGCACTTCTGTCCCACAACCAGCAACAAATGCAGGAAAGACAAAATACGTAGCCACCTTTTCAGCACAGCTTGGTCTCAATATAAATAAAAGCAAGACAAAAATCATAAAGGTAAACTCATCCAACCAAGAGCATATCTATCTGGCAGGAAAGGCACTGGAAGATGTGGAGTCCTTCACCTACTTAGGAAGCACCATGGACACAAATGGTGGTTCCGATGCGGAAAAGCTAGTTCAGCATTTGTGCTATTAAAGAAAATATGGGAGTCAAGGGAGCTGAAACTGCAAACCAAAGTTAGAATCTTTAATATAAATGTTAAAACAGTTCTACTATATGGAGCAGAAACTTGGAAAACAAAAGCGAGCATTATGCAGAAAGTGCAGACATTCATAAACACATGCCTTAGAAAAATCATGAACGTCAAATGGCCAAATACTACAACCAACAAAGACATACCAGGTGCCCATTGATGAAGATATCATAAAGAAAAGATGGAGATGGATAGAACATACCCTCCGAAAAACCCCAGATAGTATCACCAGACAATGCCTAACATGGAACCCACAGGGGAAAAGAAAGAGAGGACGGCCTTAGAATACATGGAGACGTGAGCTCGAGGCAGACACACAAACTATGGGATACGCCTGGAAGCCATTGGAAAGGAAATCACAGGACCGTGATGAAAGGAAAATTCTTGTAGACGGAATATGCCACAGGCGGGGTAAAAATGCATAAGAAGAATATAAAGACTAATTATGTATAAGGGGCTAAACACTCATTAAGCTTTCCTTCCTATGCCACTGTCGGAATCGCATTAAAACCTACACGTGTATCTCTATCAGAACATCGTCGGAAAAAAGTAATATCAAAAAATTATTTCATGAAATTTTAGAAAGGATCTACTTTAAAAAATATCTTGACAAAACAGAAATAATTATAAAGTTGCTACGACTTAAGCAGAACTATCAGCTATTTTTAGATGTAGTTATTAGGAAGATGCATCAACATGTGAACCTCGAAATCAAATTCAAGTGATGCCCATTCCAATTTACAGCGCTCTTCATCAGACGTGTCACAGTCTCGGTGGATGCCTCAAAGTTTTTTTTTTTTAAACATATGACCACATTGAGAATGCCAAGCAAGGCGTCACTAGGCCTGGTGTTACCCGTTGCGGTAACCTTATTGTGTCATCCCCCCCCACCTCCACCATTGATAACAATCCCCACCTAGGAATTGTTCCCTTCATTTCTTAACCAGATCTTAAAGAATTGTTAACCCAGTTTATGGAAAATTCAGAAATAAAGCCACAAAACAAACAAAAAAAAAAAAAAAAAACATGAAATTTGAAAAAAAATTATAGAATTAGGGGTAATGGCGTTGTAAAAAAAGGGGTAAGAAAACTTTTCTTTCCCGGTTCCTTGTTAAGTTTTGTGATTATCAGGTTCATCCTATTGCTCACATCTGGACACAGTCCTCCAATTGTTACATTTTTAATCAACAGATTTCCTTAAAATTGTATCAGTTGGCAATTATAGGTTGTTGTTTTTTTTAAGTTTCGGAATCCTAATTATTACTTTATAAACTCTACAGAAAAAAGAAAATCTTGTTAATCTTGACGTGAACAAATATAAGTAAAGACTTTAACCTCAGTTATAAACTTACCCCATTTATGATTTTGAGTTATGTGGAGTTAGGACACTCATATTTTTTTTTAAAGTATTATTTACATTCCCATTTATAGTTCTTAATAAAAATACTGTTTAATTTCTATGAAAACTGAAAACTAGTCGAAACTAAATAAAAAATAAAAATGAAAAATGAAATGTGACCACATTATTTTATTTTTGCCTAAAGCAATAAACTCTTTAAAGCCAGCACTGACTTAAATACAAGTCCAACCAAGTTTACAAAGCTTCAACAAAATGTTAAACAAAACCACTATTACGTAGATTCAAACGCAATAAATAAAAATATTTATAAAAAAAATTACCTTGAAACTTATCACTTCTGTAAATCCAATGAGCCACTGATTGGATCTTAAAAGTATAACATTCGGTAAATGTGCAATATGTTGATAAAATTGTAACTTGAGACAAGAATAAAAATCTCAATATCAATATGTAGGTTTTGATTTACCTAGGGTATAATGCTAAGCTTTTCAAAGTTTCAAAGTAATAATAATAATAATAATAATAATAATGATTCATTAAGTATTGAACATTTTCCTAAATTTAAAAAAAATTAAAAATTTCATAAGAAATTAATTCCATTTAGGTAACAAAAAAATTGATTGAAATGTTATGTACAAAAGGCACACACACCAAAAATACGTTAAAAAAATTAAAATAAAAAAAAAAAAGACATAACAGCAACGAAACAAAATTAGCATGTTTTAACCAAATTTTAGCGACCAACCATGAAGTTTCTACATAGTTTCATCTCAATGATAATAGTTGAACATATTTTTTGCAGCATTCAATTATTTGCATGAAGCAAAAAATAAAGATAAAGATAAAGATTTTAATGTACACGAGACTCATATATAAACTCTGGTGTGATGAATAAATGGGCAAGTAAGTCAACGAATTCTAACAGAAAGTTTTGAAGAATTTTTTTTTTTCAGCGAGCTCTAATCCAAAAGTGAAAAATAGAACGGCAAACTTCAACGCTAAATTAGTTTGAAGCTAATATATGAATAAATGATAAAAATAAATGGTAAAGTTTAAATTCGCCTCATGGCCGTTATTGGTATTACGTAAGCACTTAATCTTGTGTTTGAATTTTACCGAAAAGTGTTTCTGTGAATTTTACTTAATAGTGAGAGTGAATTTAAAAAAAAAAAAAACAAGAACTGGATAAGTATTATAAATTGATAGTTAATAAGTTTTACTTGGGCCCAAAAAAAAAATGGTAAAGGTTAAATTCGCCTCATGGCCGTTATTGGTATTAAGTAAGCACTTAATCTTGTGTTTGAATTTTACCGAAAAGTGGTTCTGGGAATTTTTCTTAATAGTGAGAGTGAATTTAAAAAAAAAAAAAAAACAAGAACTGGATAAGTATTATAAATTGATAGTTAATAAGTTTTACTTGGGCCCAAAACTTATTAAAAACATGAACATGATGAATTTTACCCCACTCTAAATTTCGGTGTTTTCATTTTTAAAAAAAATAATCATAACTATATTTAAACAATAATTTTAAAAGAGTGATAAAACTGGGAACGTGAAACATCAAAATGATATTTAATTTTGATCTTTCTCTGACCCAAAGAAAATTTGTCAAGGGGACTTAATGGGTTTGTTATTTTATTTCGTTTATTAATTTAAAAAAAAAAAAGAAAAGTTAAATAGATAGTTTCTATATTTTTGTGTTTTTTTTAATATTAACGTAATATTAAACCGTGTAACAAAAAAAAAAAAATTGAAGAGTGATGAGGGGCTTTATTTTTTTTTCAAAAGACAATTACAGTTTATCTTAAACTTTAATCTTTTTTTTTGTTTTTGTTTTTGAGGCACTAAGAAACTTGTGGAGCCATCCTGCACTTCGTTTATCCGGATTTAAAAAAAGTGCCGGGAATCTGTTTTAATTATTTGCTTATTGTTTTAGTTTAAAACTACAATCATATCTTGTATCCCTTGTAACGAGAGCATTGGATTTAGGAATGTGTGAACCATTTTATAATTGAGGCTTTCCAGATAAATCATCTGTAAAAAATCGAGGTAGAAGGTTGAACTTCGTTCCAATACATATTTT